CCAGTTACCTAATTTTTACGTTACCCAAAGAGAACAAGTCGACATGTCGTCGCAATCCCAAGATATGAATGCGCTACTGCACGCAATGCGTGTGCAGATAGCTGAATTAACCTCGCAGCTCGCCGAGATACAGGCCAACCCCCCTGTAGCAACCCCCTCGGTAGAGAAAAAGTTTAATAAGAAAGTCGAAGTCGTCGCTGACCCTGGCGCCTTCGAAGGAGACAGAGCGCGATTTGCCGAATGGTGGATCAAGCTCCAGATTTGGGTCAAGGCGAACTGGGACACTTTCGCCGACGATTTTGAGGTAGCCACTGCGGTGCTATCTCGCCTAAAAGGACCTGTGGCGGGTCGATACGCCCAAGTAAGACTCCAGGAATGCTACACCGCGGGTGTGTGGCCCACCTGGGACGATCTCAAAACAGAGATCGAAAAATATTTCAAACCGCAAGCTGAGCGTGACTGGGCGCGTCAGCAAATCCGTTCCTTCAAACAAGGAAACATGAGGACGGATGATTTCGTAACCCGGTTCCTGGCCCTCTCAATCCAAGGGGGTCTTGGCAATGAACACGCAGTGGAACTGCTAGAACGCAATGTGAACCCTCGCATTGCCGAACAGATCTATCTGCAGGATACACGAAGTGACAACTTGGCCCTGGCGGCTGAGGAAGTACGACGAGTCGGTAGAGCCATAGAGCTCTACACCATGCACCAAGGTGGCGGGTCCACCAAACAAAACAACATACCCCAGAGGCGCCCTGGGTCATCAAACCAACATCATAATCACTCTCACGGGTTCAAGCCGTTCGGGCTGCAGCCAGGACAGGGTGCTCCTATGGATATCGGCGCGGTCCAAGGCGGACAAATGCGCAGATTCAAGGGCAACTGTTACAACTGCGGCCAAGAGGGACACATGTCCCGAGACTGTAGAAATGGGGCGCAGGCTGCCCAACAAAAAAATAATCAAGGGCGCCAGGCGCGCCAACTAGAAATCGAGAAGCCGGACGATCGGCTCAACTCTTTGGCCGGTCGTTCTTACGACGAAATCCGGGCCTTCTTCTATGACCAACAGGTCAACGAAATGAAGGCTCAGGGAAAAGAATTCGGGGCTTAGGTCACTTGGGTGCCTTAGCTCCTGGTAAAAATGAAGTAAACCACAACAAAGTGGCCCCTGCTCCGGGGTGTTGCACGAGCAATAACGGAATGACGGGGATGGCTCCCCAATTTGTAAATAAGTTTTTAAATTTGTTATCAGAAGTATGTACTTGTATGAAGAAATGTAACTGCAATATTTATGATACTACCGCTGCACCAGCGTCTCCCTTGGAGCGTGGCCCCGGCGAGACAAACACTAGGGTGCTTGATTCTGGTAAAACAAAAATAGAAAAACATGTGTCATTCAAGATTCCTTCTTCTTCTTCTTCTTCTTCTTCTTCAGAGCCACCCTTTCCCGAAATCCCAAGGCGTGTGTTGATGCGCACGTATTTATTCCAAAAGGAGATCCGTTTAGACGTTGGCATGGAAAACCTTGCCAGGGGCAAAGTACACTCAACGAGCGCACTGCTTGATTCAGGCGCTAACGGGATCTTCATAGATCAGGTCTGGGCGGAGCAAATTGGACTCCCCCTTGTAAAATTAGAAACGTCTATTCCCGTCTATAACGTTGACGGTACGCTTAACGCAGGTGGCTGTATTACACACAAATGTTCTTTTGTGGTCGAATACCAAGGACACAGAGAACGAGTCACTGCCGAGGCTACCCAACTAGGGAAGATTAATTTAATCTTAGGCTGGACCTGGCTATTTAAACACAATCCTGAGATCAACTGGCAGACAGGGGTTGTCACATTATCACGTTGTCCCCAGGAATGTGTAAACTTGGGTAAACCAAATCATGTCCGTCACAATGAGCGTCTCGAAAAATTAAACGCTAGTCACGTTTACGAGCTCAGATCTTTAGAAAAGATCGACGATGATGATGATGAGGTAAAACCTGAGGAAGAGATTAAGAGGCTGGTACCTCCCGAGTACCACGACTTCTGGAAAGTCTTTTCAAAACACAAATCAGAGCGCTTCCCAGAGGCTAAGCCTTGGGACCATGCTATAGATTTGAAAGACACCTTCAAACCAAGGAAGGGACACATGATACCGCTCTCTGCTCCCGAAAGAGACGAGGTATCTAGTTTCATAGACGAACAACTTAGGAAGGGTTACATCAGACCTTCCAAAAGTCCTATGACGTCCCCGGTGTTCTTCATTCCTAAAAAGGATGGTAAAAAGCGAATGATTATGGACTATCGTTACGTGAATGAGCACACGGTTAAAAATGCGTATCCTCTGCCTTTGATTAGTCAGCTAGTGGACAAATTGGCTGGCGCCAAGATCCTGACAAAGATGGATCTCAGATGGGGGTACAACAATGTACGAATCAAAGAGGAAGATGCTTGGAAGGCCGCGTTCACGTGCCACCGAGGATCTTTCGAACCCCTTGTTATGTTCTTTGGGTTGACCAATTCACCGGCGACCTTCCAGAGCATGATGAACGAGATCTTTGCGGATATGGAAAACTGTGTCGTCATTTACATTGACGATTTATTAATATTTACAAAGTCGGACGATGAGGCTGAGCATGACAGGATCGTGCAAGAAGTCCTTCGACGCTTACAGGAACGGGACCTATTTGTTAAACCCGAAAAATGTAATTTTAAAGTGAAGGAAGTAGACTTCCTCGGTATGATCATAGGCCAAAACGGAATCAGGATGAACCCTGAGAAAGTTCAAGCTATTTTGGAATGGCCAGAACCTACTCGCGTCAAAGGAGTTAGGGCCTTCCTAGGCTTAGGTAATTTCTACCGAAGGTTTATTGAAGACTTCGCAAAAATCACGAGACCGTTGAACGATCTCACCAAAAAGGACCTTGTTTGGCATTGGGGCGCCAAAGAACAGGAAGCTTTTGATAAGCTTAAACAGGCATTTACAATAGCGCCCATATTGGCATTCCCTGAATTAGACAAAGAGTTCCGGCTAGAAACCGAATCTTCTGACTTCGCCACTGGGGCTGTTCTATCAATCAAATGCCCTGATGATCTTTGGAGGCCTTGTGCCTATTTATCGCATAGTTTGTCGCCTACAGAGCGTAACTATCAAATATACGACAAGGAGATGCTGGCCATCATTAGAGCTTTAGAGCACTGGCGGCACTACTTAGAAGGTGCTAGGCACCAATTCGAAATTTGGACCGATCATAAGAACCTAGAGTACTTCATGACGGCCCGAGACCTAAACCGGAGACAGGCCCGCTACGCGGTGTACTTGTCAAGGTTCAATTATAAATTAATTCATAAACCAGGAAGCTCAATGGGGAAAGCGGATGCTTTATCTAGAAGAGAGGATCATGCCAACGGCATTGAAGATGAAAACAAAGGTGTCACCCTGATAGATCAATCAAGGGTTGCCAATGTTAGAATCGGGCAAGATTCCGACCTCCTGGAAGTCTTCAGGAAAGACATCTCCCCAGAGGAAAAGGCACGCCTTGACGGCAATGAAAACTATTTATGGAAAGACGGGCTCTTTCATTTCAAAAACAAAATCTATGTGCCTGAGTCCGCAAGGATCAAGGCAATAGATAGACATCATGACACTCCAGTGGCTGGGCACCCTGGATGGCAACGAACAATGGAGTTGATCTCCAGAAACTACATTGAGCCTTAGAAGGGGGGTAGTGTTACGATAACACAATTTCCGGACATCTCCTTTCCTTTTTATTCTCCGCTTTAACTTTATACTTTAAGTGCCACGCGGCATTTCCCTTTCTCGCGCCGCGTTGCCTTTCTTTTACTTTTAGACTTAACTCTCTCACACAGTGGAGCTGGCCATACGGGCTAGGCCCTATGACATCATCAGCCACTGCCTTCATCAACTGTATAGTACACATGTACAAACAACCTGTAGTAGTATATATACCCCAATAGATCCAGGAGACTCCTCAGCGAGTCCTCCTGTTGTATACCAACAAACTCTCTGCAGCTTAAGGGGTAACCACTCCCTCTACATCTTCCTTATAGTGTGTTCTTGTGTGCGCCAGAGTAACTAACTCTTGGTTGTTACAAGAATAGGCAATCATGCACCAAGTGATCAATCAAAGCCCACTAGCTCCACTTCGGCAAATGCTCACTAAACAGTGTCAGAATGACAAAACATCCGGGCCACTTGGCCTGCTAGTGAGCTCCGCTTGATCCAGCCTCCGGTGCCGGTCATGACACATAGTTGCAACAGTATTCCAAGACCTACATCATCATTTCAGTTTCGTTCCACTGCAACAATACACCCACTCCATGCTTTTATTTCTACATAGGGTTCTAGAGAACTAAAAATTGGAGAACCTGGCGAAGTTCTGAACACTCTAGCTTTACTGACAGGTGAGTTAATCAGCTTCTAGCAAAAATGAATGCAACAGTCATCCAACAATAGTATATGTGACTAGTCTTAACGCCGAAATCCTCAGCAACGGTTAGATGGTAACCAATTGGTTCAGACTAGTGTATGCTTAACTACACCCACCGACTGGTCTGGGGTATGCCACGCCACATCGATTTGTGGCTGACAAGCTGTAACGGTCACATAGAATGTCACACGAAGTGGATAGAATAATGAGAGCTCTCCAGTTGGTCTAAATCACTGTGTAAAGTCTACGAGTGTATTCAGTATCAACTCGGGAATGTCTACGATATCAGAGTCCTTTATAAATGAAAACGAGAGTGAGCTAAGTCGTAAAAGGAGAACGAATGACTAGTGAGTGATGACAGTTAAGATTATAGCTCGGCTTTGGGAATAAGGAATGTGACGCGAGCGAGCAGGCATGAGTAAGCAACGACGTGGTTCAAAGTGACGGTTGAGTCACAACCGTTACACAGGCCATGTACTATAGTTACGGCCGGCCGTACTATGTCTATCCCGAATGTCATGTGTCTGTTATCAGACTCAGGCTGCTGTGCTCGTTGCCTAGTATAAATATGGTCTTGATTTTTGTGTGAGCATGCAATATTACTCCCAACAATGACTGTCCATCACGTAGGTAAGTGCCCCCCAACGCGAGCTATCTCTGCACTTTGCTCACAGATCGTACAGTTCTTTGGAAACTCAAGCCCGAGGTTTCTCAAGAGGCCAGGCAGAAAATCAAAGATGATCTTGCTCTGCTGGCCAAGATTCCCCAGGTGAAAGACATGCATATAGGAATCACGAAACCTGTCGGCGCTTTCAGCCAAGGATGGGAAGAGGGTAAGTGCAGTCAGTCATTCATTTGTGCTTCGCCTCACTCACATATGATTGCAAGGTGTCATCATTATCTTCGACAGTGAAGAGGACTTGAACATTTTCCGTCCTCATGAAGCTCACGTTGGGTTCTTGGCGTCCTGCAATGCACAACTTCAAGGTGGGTACTCGCTATAGATATTCATATCGAATCTATCTAACGTCCTTACTAGATAAATTAATATTCGACGTCGTTGTCCCCTGATTGAACCGTCGTAAGGATGAAGATAAGCATTGTACTCTCAAGATATGTAAAACGATAGAAGATCCATGTGACACCGTCCATCAATGAAATAATACAAGCACTGTTTGATGCCGATTTAACTATAAAGAAAAGTGCAGTGATGTAAACTTAGGGAAGAATTTTAGTCATAGATAGGAAGAGGCATGATTCTATGTAACATCCATTAGTGACTGCCAATGTTTGGTGAATATGCAAAGAAAATACCTGTCAGCATTGAACAAGAAGTTCTCTGCTATATCCTCCCCCTCGAGGAAACGAGTGGGGTATATCACTAGGACGTATGTATAAGTGAAAGAAAGCATTATATCACAAATCACCTACCCAAGTGGCCTTGCAATTGGTTTAATAATTCTTCCATTTCGTCCTTCTCTTCTTTATCAAATGGTTCGAGTCCTTTCGTGGGCTTACGGCCACGATTTTCTTTTTCCTTCTCCTTTTCATTCACCGCTATGTTCGCAGGTGCGGGAAAGCTATCTTTCGAACTCTCTTCGCTCTTTTTACCTTGCGCCAACCCGTCTTCCTTGATGGCCTCAGCCTTATCAGCAACTCCACCTTTCTGGTAGGGTCCATCTTCGAACGCAGTCTCAGAAGGTACTCGCGCAACTGGTTCTGGGGTGCTACTATCCTTTTGCTGGGAGTCACAACAGAATGAGCAAGCATCATAGGAAAGTAAACAAATATTGTTACTGACTCTTTTATTAAACCGTTCATGGTGCATCACAAATTCTTTGTACTGCTTCCACGTAGTAATGAGGTCATCTGGTATTGCATGAAATACCTTCCGGTAAATTTCAGTCTAAAAAACAGGTCAGTTACGAAATCAACAACCTCGAAGGACTTGATAGCGCACGTTGTGAACTGCGCATGCAACCCACACATTCCGCCAGAATGCGTCAGATACAGGATCATCGAAACCTTCAGGGTCCACTTTAGGAGTAGGAGTAGGCATAGTCCAAGTCTTAGTTCCCAGCCTGCTAGCAAGGTGTTTTCGTAATATGGCTCTTGCGCTAGGAGCAGCTTGTTCCGTGTCGTCGGCGTCATTGACACCGGACTCAGCATGAGGGGGCTGGTCATCTGTTTGAGGATCCTTGGACGCATGGGCAGGTGCGCCGAAAGCCTCTCCATCAGCTGTATGAGCTTCCGTCGGCTCCTTCCTATGGATGGCGTTACCATTCTCCTTTACCTCACCGGCGGCTGGCTTTCCGTGAGCTTGCGAAGCAGGTGGAATGTGTTCCGCTACCATTTTTTCCTCCAACGTTGGTACCATCGAACTAGCAAAACCAGGGCGTTTCTGCCCATCACGACCATAGGTCATCCGCTCCTCCTGTAAAGATGCATCTTGTGTGGGAGTGTTGACTTTGTGAAACTCGACTTTGGATAGAGGCTCGTGAAGCTTTCTGGCAGTAGTTTCAGCCGCTGCATCGCCTATTACATGTGCAGCTGTGATCCCTAGTCAGCCGGGATGAAACACATCCTTAAAAAGACATACTTTGCTTCATTCCATCTGTTGCAGTAGCCAGCATGTTCCTGATAGGAGTCTCATGTTTTGCCTGTGTTATCTCTCCCTCCTTCCCGTACTCCTGTTCCATATTAGGGTCCCACTCGTGCTCGTTTTCTGGTTTTGGTGCTTCCTTAGCCATAAATTCCTTTTCGCTCATGGCATCAACGTCAACACCAATATGCTCTCGCATCAGCCGCATTCGCAAGGTATGCGCAAATCGGCCTACTCTAAAAGGTTTACCTGCCATCACTCTGAATTTACATATATGAAATGAGCAACGCAATAGAGAATACTAGTACGATCACGTACCCGTTGATCATGTCAGTGTCTCTTATAACAGCAGCGATTTCGGAATCTCGCTCCCCTCTTTGGGACCGTTCATTGATGTTTGCGCTACCGATAATCGCAAGGCGGTCATCCACAATACACACCTAAATTGGGTTAGTATTCGCGTTTACCAAGCATAAAAAGTCAAACTTTGGCGTGAACATAAACCTGTGATCATTCTTGAGTATTTCTGCCAACCAGTGGAAATACAACTCACTATTTCAGTCGTCAGAACATTGCCGCGCATTTTCGCCCAATTCCTCAGAGAGAAAACAGACATATAATCATCCGGCTATGAAGTTGGTGTCAGATGCTTGCCATGGTATAAAAGTGTATCACAGACATCAATGCCCTCCTTGCGTAAGCGGGCGAAGATAGAATGTGGGCCGCGGCACAAAGTGCGGTTTTGACATTCGATAATTATACGAATCTGCTAGACATTCAGCAAAAAGAAAAATTAAAGATTATAGTTGATATACTTACCGCACTGGCATCACTGTGGTCAACAGGAAAGGGGAAACCTGGTAATAGAGGTATAATAATACAGCACTTCCAAGGAGTTCCTTCGCGATGTGCCCGAATGATGCGATCAACGAGTGCATTTCCAATCATGTTCTCGACCTTGACATCATTGACAACAGTACTGAGATGAAAAGTCACTTCTTCTATCCCAAATAGGCAAGTATTGAAATACTGACGAAGATATGAAGAACTGGTTTTCAATGTAGACAAAGTGCTCCGAAAGCTCAATCGCTGTGTGGAAAAATTAGCTCTAACAAACTGGAAGCTCATATAAACTACTAACCTTTAAGGTATGCATTTTGTATTGAGTGCTCAATACGCCCTGGAGTTCCCAACGACCATGGACCTGCAGACCTACAGATTTGCATTTCGCAAGTCCCAGTCAAACCCATTGCTGTCAAGTCTCCCGGCTTGAACTCAGGAGGAGGAAGCAAAAAAGGCATGAGTTTGGTATGATTCTGGAAATCGACTTAGTCACGTCAACACGCACGAAACAGAAACAAACCTTGATTCTCAATAGGTAATTCCATCTACAAACAAAGGGATGAACTATCTGTGCTAAGAATAACGAAGCACTGAATTTTTGTACCTTTCCACAAAGTGACGAGCCAAGTCGCGGGCGGGTTGCCCGACAACTTGCATACCAACGTCATGCCTACATTGCATTAGCATATATATCTCACAATGTGGTGACGACATACCAAGGCATTCGAGGCACTTTTGATCTGTCATACATATCCTCTTCTGGTTTGCTCAATGTATGGAAATCCATAATTCTAGGGTTGCTGTAGTCCTTGCCTAAATGGGTGTTTAATGTACCACTTTTCAAAACAACCCAAAAAAAATTACCAGGCCATATCTCCGCCTTCTCGGACGATAGTTCAATATCATCGACGAGGACATGCTGAGGTGTATCCCACCTAAAGAAATAATACGATTAATGATGCTCCGAAACATAGAGTCAACTCACCTTCCAAAACATAGGTCAATGCCCCCCATGAATGCGATAGTTTGGTCAATGACGCATAGCTTTTCATGCTTAGAAAAAAGAGAATATGAGTATCAAAGCCTCTGCAAGTACAGTGGTGAATTACATGGGCCCAGTAAAAAGTTCCCGTCTGGAAATGTGAAGGAGAGCGTTGAACCATAATATTTGGGTGCAGCGACGTTAGTCGCTGCTTGGTATAGCTTGGCCAGGGTGTTAGGACATGTTATGTCCAGAAACAAAGCCTTTGGTACACTCACTTGCTGTCCGTTGGAGTAGTCCGACTGGATACTTCCTGACTACAAAAAACGTTTCATTAATGATAGCACTATGTAACAAGACGACTCACTAAAGAATGATGTGAATCTTCACACCCTCGTTTGCCTTCTTCTCCAGTAGCTTGTCTAGTCTGTATTTATCCTTATTGGGTCGGCGCATTTGCAATTCTAAGGATGCTCTGTTAACGTATAATCAGCTCCGAGTATCAAACTTGCACCCTACCAGGGGAGAGCCACCAGTCGTGAATATATATAGTCTCTCGTGCCAGCATAATTGCTCGCGAAAGGTTCCACATGTAATCACGCTGTTCTGTCAATCAACAATTTAAACGAAGTAAGAGAGTGATCTCAAATACTGACGCCATCGACAAGCCATTGAGCAGCAACATTCAATCGGATAGGGGAAAAGCTGTCGAATCGATTATTACCACTGTAATGGGATGCAGAAGCGATTCTCTCCAGTGCAGTAATCCACTGCAACATTTGTCGCTAGTGTTTGTCATAAGTGTCAGAACAACACACATAACGATGGCAAGTTACCTCATTTCTGGCAAATAGTTTCAGTCGCATCTGTGAATTCTCAATATAGAATGTATGCTTTGAGACATCGTCTTGGCGCCTTTTCTTTTTCTTCACTTCAGCCGCATTTGTTTGACCGTTCCCGCCCGAATCTTCTGCGTGGGGTTCAGCAAGTGGGTTCACGTTGGTTGACGGATCGAGCATAGCGGCTGGAGAATGAGAAGCAATTGAAGATGCTGAGCTCCCAGAATAACCGGAATCTACTCGACGACGCATTTGAGGCATTTGCTGATCATTGATATGGGACGAAGACTTGGGATGCCTTCGCAAAGCCACCGAGAGTCGGCTTTTGAAGGAGTCTATAACAGATAAACAGTCGGCCTCTGTATCAATGTGGACCTGTGCAGCATTGACATCTTTATCCAATGGCTCGGGATGCAAGAGATGCAATCCTTTCCGATAGTAACGAGTGGGCCGTTCGATCTTGAAATCCGAATCAAGCAGAAAAACATCCCAAATAGCCAGCTAATGCCGAATGAGCGGTCATTTATAGTCAGAAAGGTGCTACCTACCTCTCCCGGTTCTTCCAGAATCACCAGATAACTCTCTCGCACTGCACACCATCTTGATTCCCTTCTCTCCCTCCATCGGGCAGATTTGCGTCCCAAGGAGGCACCACCTTTGCTACTGGACTCAATGCGGAGGAAACCAGCTTTATATTGTGCACCACCTGATTGAGCTAGCGATATAAAAAGAGCACTAATTTCGAGAAAACCTGCCAGACGATTGGAAGTAGGATGGAACATCTAGAGACATTTCAATAAAATTGAACTAGCATTACGGTTCGCATGCATACCACAGCGCGGAAAAGACTCAGCAAGTAGTTTTCCAGTGCTTCTCTTTGCAATCGAGCAAAGTCTGTTTGTCGTAATTGACCACCTTTACTCTCTCGTTTGAGAAATTTGAAGTAAGGCAAACCTAGAAATAAATCATTTAGAAACTTTATTTTGTCACGTAGAATACACATTCGTACTGGTTCGAGGGAACTCTGGTAAGGCATCTTTGTTGCGATTGTATGCGTTTGCGATGGTATAATGAGTGTGGAGAGATATGAAATCTCGAAGTTGTCGATATATTACCCATCTTGCTGCACCATTTGCATATTCACATTCGATACGAAAAACTGCTTTGTTCCCATGCAAAGGGTGCAAACTATCACTGATGCGTATGCGAAGGCGATGGAGGAGTAACGGAATGCGACGATGGTCTTTCTCGTCTCTTTCAAACCACAGACGGAGCATGAGAGTTGATAGTCCTCCGGTGATGAGTTCGTCTGTAATATTTACATGATGAGGAGTAATCACAGAATGTGTAGCGGTCTGTGTTGAAACGGTGTGGCTTATTACATTTGGAAGTAATGATCGCAATCGACCCCATTTAGCTGCACCGCTAGGCTTCTTGGACGGCTCGGGCCTGAGAGGAGGATGGGTCTGGGAACGTTGTAATCTCTTCGGAGAACGTGTGGACTGCCCTGCTTGGTCCATTGTTTGATAGCGAGAGGGCTTTTTTTTGTCCTTATTATCACTGGTACCAGTGCTTTCCTCGCCAAGCTGGGGGTGCGGGATCTCTTCCTTTGGAGAGTCATTAAACCACTTACGGGGATTCCAAGGATCGTCCAGAATCCTACTCTCTCTACCTTTACCCTTCTGATCAGAAGAGTCTTTCTCATTCTCATTATGTCCTAACACAGGGGCATTGGGGTCGGTATCCAACACGCCACGAAAAGTAGTGTCTCGTGCATGAAAGCGGAAGGGGAACTCCGGTGCTTCGGCATCCACATCTTCCATGATATCCGCGTTATCGTATCCAGCGTTCTTTGCTGTGAATACTGGAGAGTTTGGTAAAGAATAGTTGAATGACAGAGAGCGCGGTGGGCCCGTCCTGGAGGAAGGCGAGTCGGGTACAGATGCTTTAGGAGTAAAAGAAGTCGACGCCGAGTCCATGTGTTGACTTCGACCCGCATGTATATCACCATTCTGATTGCCTTGCGGCCCTTGGCTGGCACTAACCGACTCAGCCTCGTGCGCGCGATTGGCTTGCACCGCAGCATTCACGACGTCGACGAACGCCATGGCTAACTAGCACAGGCCGATAAAATTTGGGTGGGCAAGCAAAGTCAGAACAGCCAACAGCAGTAAAAGTGGGAGTAAAGGTCGTGGATGATGACTGTGACAGCGAAAGATGATGGTTTATTTGGAGCGGATTGGTGAACTAGGATGTATTCAGTAACTAATTTTGTATTCAAGTTGTACGTCAATGGCCATGGCCGCCAGTGGTGCTTCGGCGTGCGCAATTGCTATAACCGGCACGTCTGCAACCAACCATACCTCTAAGTAAACCTGTCTATCAACAATCCTATCTGTTTAAACTTCTGACTTGAGCGTAATACAGTTCTTACGGCGTCAGACGTGCCTTGCCTAAAACCCCATCTCTCACATGGCTAATCAGATAACAAGTTCATGGCTACCATCCAGAAAACCGAAACGGAGGCTTCCTTGATTGCGCAGAACATCACAAACAAACTTTCTAGGACTCCCATTGTGCACTGCTAACTGCGGTCTCGAACCAAGCTCGCAGCTTCACACCCAGCTTTCCTCCCGAAAACAGCCCCCGCAGTCAAACCGCTACCTCCCGGATAGTTGGAATAGAATAAACCACCCACCATCTCTCCTGTGCAGAACAAGCCTTTGATAGGTTTCCCGCTTTCCTCGCTAAGGACCCCAGCCGTATTGGGATCAATCGCCAGGCCTCCAAACGTAAAAGTAATGCCACACGCAACCTTGACAGCCACGAAGGGCGTATCCTCAAGAGGTAGAGCCCAGTTAGATTTTGGCAGTGTAAGCGAAGAATGACTCGATTGCGTTGACAACCCGTCTCTGACAGAAGGGTCCCACAGTAAACCTGGATATTCGGCTCGATGACTTCTTACAGCAGCATTGTACTCGCGTATCGTCCGCAGAAGATTCTCCTTCTCTTCCAAACCTTTTTCAACCAGCTTATCTGCCAACTCTTCTAGACTTGAAGCCCCGATTTTCTCCACGATTTCGTCTGCGTATTCCTCTTTGCGAAGCAATTCAACAATCTTGCCAGAAAATATCTGGAACGCGCATCCTTCTGGTTGTTGCAGAATCGCCCGCCCAAACTTGGCATAGGTGTAATTCCTAAAGTCTTGACCTTCATCGACAAATCTGTCTCCTTTGACGTTCACCATGATTCCCAGCGGATAACCAGACTTGGTGAACTGATTGCTCATCACGCGATCCCCAGTATCCGCAGGAGCATTTGCATCCCAACACGTACTATGACACCCTTCCCAATCGCCTGTAAGTTTTGCCCCAATGGCTTGGGCCATTGCGATCCCATCCCCCGTGTTATATGGAGTTCCTCGGACCTAATGCATGCGGTTATAAGAAAAAAGATGCTGAGATTGACCTGGTCGATTTTACCCACCCTTGCTCTGTCCCAACCAGGACCGAGATATTTCTCACGTAACTGACGACTAGATTCATATCCACCTGCCGCCAAGATGACAGCCGTCGCGCTAAGCTGGACCTTCTGGCCATTCTTCTTCACAATCACACCTCTCACTGCAAAATCCTCCATCACAAGCTCGACAGCCGGGGAATCAAACCAGACCTCTACCCCTGCCTTCTCGAGCGCGCGCAAATGGGCCGCAATCAGTCCCTTCCCTCCATCTTCCACGCTCAGCGCCAGGCCACCCCAGAATTTCTGCCTTCCCCCTACTTCGTAGGCTTGCCTGTGAAATGCAAGGATAAATGGTATGCCGACGTGACGTGCCAACCACTCGACTGCGTCCCTCGAATGGTCAACCATAGACTTCACTAATATAGGGTCAGACTGTGAGTTCCCTAGTCGCATGATATCAGCAATGTAATTTTCCGTCGTGTATGGTTCCATGTCGATCAACGTTGCCTGCTCAACTGTCACATTGTTTACGATGGGCAGCAAGTCGTGCAGTCCGTTGTGAACGGTACGGTGAGCACCGGCAGTAAAGTAACCATTACCGCCGGCCCATTCCTTCGGGGATTTCTCGACAATTAAGACTTTCCTGCAGCCAGATTCTACCGCGGCAAGAGCTGCACAGCTACCTGCGTGACCGCAGCCAATGACAATACAGTCGTACGCGGTCATGGAGTAGGAAACGATTGTGTGAAAATGTTCGTGTGGGCTGAAGATGCCACTATGACGTTCACCTCAGACGTGCGAATGATTGGAAGACAAGTTGTTTAAAATTCGATTGGCGCGTTTTATATACAATTGACTTGATCACGAGTCACTAACCATAAAGACTCCTCTTCGGTCTGATAATCCGAAAGTCTTAACTCGAGCAAGTAAGCAACATAAATCTCGACCACGAGCTACATTGAAGCAACCCAAGAACTGCATATTATGATACAGCATACATTCAATCACGATCTGGATGGGTTGACAGCCATATACCCTCCGTCGATCACTAGTTCTCGTCCGTTCATATAGCTTCCTGCACGAGATGCAAGATACACTGCGGTTCCAGCCATTTCTGCAGCACTAGATTCCAGCAGGCCTTTTCAGCTTTTCGAAAACCTCATATTCAAGGCTTATTACTCACGTGCCAGATCTCTTGGCCGGTATGGGGAAAATACCCTGTCCAACTTTGTTTGTTAATTCTTCTCCTTCAATGACATCGACTGTCATTTCTGATTCGTAGACACCTGGAGCGATTGCATTGACGCGGACAAGAATGCCTTTAAGCGCGAATTCTGTGGACAACATTGAGGTCAAGTGCGATGCAGCTCCCTTCGCGCTATTATAACAAAACTACTGAGAGGTCAGAATCACTTCCGAACATTTCATGGCTTGGGTTTTCAAATTGCTCACATGTCTTTGCGCCAGCTTGATCAAACCACTGATACTAGTTGTGTTGATAACACATGACGTATACCCTTCTACATCCTTAGATCCTTTGTCCAGTAAACCCGCGAAAGCAGTGGTCACGAAGAATATCGAGAAGGTGTTGATCGCATACAAGTCGCTCCACTCTTCAAATGACTCATTATCGAACAAAGCCTGACCAAGAGTTGCAGCGTCCTTGGGCGCAGTTGGAGAGGGCTGGTTTAAGAAGTCTGAACAGGGGCCAACTTGCCCTGCGCTATGATATAAACCAATAAGTATATGCAAGCGTAACTGAAAAGTACCCAGACACACTTATTGACAAGAATATGCAATTTCCCTTCCTGTTGTGATATAACCTCCCGTGCTGCTAATATACTTTCTTTTTTTGTAGCATCCATCTGGAGTCTGGGATGAGGAAGACATTGAAGATCTAGCCACACCTATGACACGACAAGTAATGCCTACGGTATTATCTTGCCCTCTTCCTGCTCCCATGCTTGTGCAATCTTGTCGAGAACCTCTTTACGTCTGCCGGTGATATAAACCTTTGCGCCGCTGGCCGCAAGACCTTGTGCGATCATTAATCCGATGCCAGTTCCCCCTCCCGACACCAATGCAATACGACCACTTAGATCGAATAGCTTGCCAGGATGAAGATCGGAGCCTGGAGACATGCTGGAGATAAGGATGAGGATGAAGGAATGAAGTGTGTGGTGAAAAACGGAAAGATTAGCATATAGTCTAAGAGACCTGTGTTTCGGTCCGGCGGTCCGAAATAGCAGCAACCTCGTGATATGAGCTTCCACTAATTTCTTCTTCGGCCCTATCGTCCCTACCCCTCCGCTTCATCTGAATAGGTATCCTTATACAACGCGTTCTGCAACAAAACCATCTTTACCCCACCGCCGCACTGAGAACTTCGCCACTAACAGTGCACTTGCACTTGCACCTTGTACTTCAATACGCCCGAGGCCCGGTAGGATGTGAACTAGTGACCTGATCAGCTTCTTCTCAAACCATCCGTGCTCGACGTGAAGAAGTTTTAGAGAGGGAGAGCAACGTAACCCCTGAAGGAAAAACGATAACCGGGGGAATGGTCGAGCAGAGTGATGTAAATCATCCAGATGGAGGGAGGTCAGGGCCGGAAACGATATCTGGGTCATGAGGGAGTACAGTTCCGATGGGATATCCGGACTGTCTACGCATAGATGTAAACGATCAAGAAAAGGTAAGATAACAGGACCTGCGCTGGGCAGATGTTCAGGAAGAAAGACGATTTCCTTCTGAGAAGGGAAACAGATCCTCAGTTCTCGGAGGCGATTAGAAACCTCTAGCATGTATAAAACCTCGTAAACCGCAACGTGGCCTTTGGTAAATCCGCGGTGCGTGTAATCCAGATAAGTGAGATTCTCAAAAAGCGAAGGAAGCCAGGCCAAACGAATTCCATCGAGCGTGAGTCTGTGAAGACGCGGCGCTACACCACCGAATAGTGCAAACTCCTTCGTGTCGTCATTACTACGATGTATGAGCGTGAGTTCCTCTAGTCGGGGAGCGTAAGCGATGGTATCTGAACGACAACAACCAGAAAGAGCAGCATTCCACAAGAATGGTGAGTAATTTGGGAATGCTATATGAAGAGAGCGACATCGATTTATATGAGGAGTCACTAGGTGCATATACCACTGTACTGTGTGAACGTCGGCGAAAATAGGTCGAGGGCGAAGATTTTCCGTGGGTACTAGCTCGATGTCGAGGGTGCAAGATTTTGCACGGAAAATTCGTTCTGCCCACATATCTAAGCGTGGAGTAAATGAAATGCGTCGCCATAAAGAAGGAGTATGCAGCGCTAGATTCCGCCACAAGCGACAGACGTGGGATACAGAGACAGGCAGCATGTAGTCATCGCGAGACCCCACGTAAAACACGTAGGCCAAAATCTCTCTTGGGAGGGAGTGAATGGGATGTCGCTGTCGTCTGATATCTAAAGAAAATTTGCGATCTCTACGAACGATGATCGTAGATGGAGCCTTGTTTGTGCAATCAGTCAAGAAAGCCTCGTGATTCTTCGAGTCTATCGGATGATGCCTACTTAAGTCCGCACGTTAACTATATACTGAACTGAATCAAGGTGAAAGAGCCACTCACTCTGGGGGACATACTTTCAACCTTATAGCACTCGTGAAAGACCTGGTGAGAGTGAGCTCGCGACGACGAGATCGCCTGAGAGTAGAGGGCATCTTGTATCGAGGATTAGTGTGAAGGGAGAAAATTCCAGCAATTTATAGTTCTTCATCAATCGAAAGAAGGCATATGGACGCCATAGGGGCTACCAGAACAAGCCTAACATAGCATACCGGCAGGGATCGGGACCGACTTCTGAGTCGAGTAAAAAGCCGACAAGACAAAGGTACTGAGTGTCAACAAAAGGAAGATGTTCAGCTCGACAGCTGTTGCTGTGTTGCTTAGCTTATTTGGCGATGCATTTTTGGAATGGAGAATTATGACAGCAGCAACAGTTGTCCAAAGATCCGAATTTCGTTTTTGTGGGTGCCACTCATGATGGAAGGGAAAAAAAGGGACGCGCATAGCGAGCCATAGGGGGACCTCTGGACCTCTGAGCTCGAGATAACGAGGCAGTTGAAAGCACTGGACTGTTTGCGCACACTACTGGCTGGGTACTGCAGCTGGTAAGGAAGAACCACACCAAAGGGCCAATGACGGACGAGGACAATGCCGAGAGTGCCCTGGGTCCAGCTGAAAGGACCTCTGGCACCACCAGCCAGACCCAAGACGCGTCCCAAACCAGCCAACAACACTTGACAGGAGTATTTCAATAATTTGGCTGGACGTCGCAGCACTTGGGCACAGAAAGATCTAACACGGCTCTCTTGCAGATACGATAACGTAGAATGGACGAGTCTGCGTCTCTGGACTCCCTGGCCAATCTGCTCACCGAACTTTCTACGCATCCCTATGACATATCTCTTCACATTCAACATATTCGTCTTTCTCAGTCGTTGCAAGGTTTGGACTCACAGCTCATCACCGCTCAGGAGATGGCTGCAAACTATTTTGCCGTCGGAGATGAAGTCTGGTTGTCTCTTATCGAAGCCAAGGAAAAGGCCGTTGACATAGACTCACCAAATGGAGTTTTGGAGGTGCTGGGACTCTACGATCGTGCTGAGAAGGACTACCTATGTGCGTGAGGATCCCTGTATATCGGCTTTTACGTTGAGCATGTGTTATAGCTATTCCTATCTTGCAGAAACACGTCGAATTCATCATCGACCGCCATGCTCATTTTGCCAGCCTCGAGTCTGTGCCTGATGAATTGGGGGACGTATGTTCTACCGAGTGGACTCGTGCCTCACTCACTTCCGTCGTAGCCAAAGGTGAAGGTCACTTAACCAAGGCAAGTATTTGGGTGCCAGTGATGTGGAATCACCCTGCTTATGTCAGTATGCACCCAGAGTCATCTCCTGTGGGACGCATATAAGGACTGGGAGTTTGAATTGCTCGGGGCAGCTCCAAACTCTGAAAGGTGCCCATCCTTCTACTCTTCCTTTCACTACAGCTTACATTACGTCAACATAAAAGGGATGTTTTAGTCAATGACTTCGAGGAATTACTCCTCGATCGCCTACAGCAACCTCATTCAAGTATGTACATAGTTCGTTTGTTCTTCATTTATTCGCCTTATATTCTGTTTTTAGATCATGACGAAACTTACCAAGCCTACTCGTCTTTCACTACTAATTACAAGCCTCCTCAGGACTATGAATCCCTCCTCGTCTCAGCATCCAAAATGCGATCTAAAGCTGTAAAATCATATGAGCGCCGTGAAGCTTCTGAAATCGCGCTCGTAAGTGCATTGCTTTCTTTGTGGAACATAATCAAACCTGACAGTATCGTTCAAGAGTCAAGCTCACTTTTCTCTAGACGCGTATGGTTACTACATAGCTTCGGAACGAAGAATGAGAAATGTTGACATGTTCATTGTCACAACCCTATACGAACGTGCTATCGCAGAGGCGGCCAAGAGACGCTTTTCCGGGGAGATTGGCGCAGAGCAAGTTCTAGAAATGTTCTGGTCAGGCTACTGCGACGCCCTGGTAAGTCAAAGGAGGAACGATGCGAGTAGTAGATCTCGTTATAAGTTGAAACTGACCCCTTTTCTTGGAAGCGGATTCACGATTCCAATCAGCAAACAGAGCTTGATATCATACAAAGAGCTGTAAGGAGCGTTCCTGGGTGTGGGGAGGTGTGGGCGAGGTATTTCCGATATTTGGTATGTCTTATAAATATACAAAATAAATGATTTCATTTAATAAAATGTGTGTGTGTTTAGGAACGCACTGCTGAATCTGAAGAAAACATTGCCAACAGGCCGACAGAAGCAGGTAGGTATCAAGGCAATAGTATGCTAAGCTGTTTTACAAAGACAAACTTTGCGCAGACATTTATACACAGGCCATATCAACGAATCTCTTTACAAAGGATCCCCATCAGGCAATTCCATTAATTCTCGCACGTGCGGGTTTTGAGAAACGAAAGATGGAATCTGGAAAAGGAGGTGATTGTGTTAGCAATATACCTGACACTCTGTTAACAACGACCTTAGATGAGAATATATTTGTCGAGCTAATCAAAATTCTCGAGGATGGTGTTGCTATGGTTCGCCAAGGTATGTACGATATCGTGCTCCCAAACTACAACTCTCCATATATTCTTTTTTGATTTTCTTAGCATCTTCAACGGGCGATCCTGGCTTTAGGCTTGAGAAATTTCTGGCCGAACTAGTGTGTTCTTTTCTGTGTATTTGAAACGAACGCTCGTTGACATGTTCCCTCTAGTATCTCAACCTTGCTGATGTGCCCGAAAACGCCATTACTGTCTGGCAAAACACTGCGAAGCACTACAAGTCCAACTATTCGGCCTGGATTGCATACACTGATGTACTAATGTATGCCCTTTGTTATTTTCCCCCCTTTCTCTCCTGCAGGCCGCTCGCTAATCACCATTTTTCGATTCCAAATATGCTGTTCACAGAAAAACAGACCGATACGATCTTGCTCGCGCAACGTTCCAAGATATCTGCATGAAAAACATAGACTGGCCAGAAGCGATCTGGGAGGCTTGGCTAGCTTTCGAGCATTTGTATGGTTCAGTTGAATCGATTGAAGCTTGTATGGATAGAGTAGAGCGCGCGCAATATCAGGTCAATATGCGTCGATCTAAAGTGCGTAAAGCAATCCCTCCTCTAGGTTGACTCTTATTCTAGTTATGATTTTAGGAAGCGGAAAGGGCGGCATATCAGGCAGCGCAAGTTAGCATGGAGCAACAGGCAGCCACCGTCCCTGTTATTGCCACGCGTAATATCGATACCACAGAGTCTTTTATGGATGTCGATGTGCCTGCTGCTGAGAGCGGCGTAAAGAGAAAGGCAGAAGATGATTCTCCTTCGGAGACTAGCAAGAAAGCTAAACTTGGTAATGAATTTTTTAATTCAAATTTAATTGATCTAACCAATATCTGTGTAGAAACAAGTTTACCGCCCCAAAAGAGGTTAGCTACAATATGCATAGAACGTCACTGATCATGCTTACCCGAAGGATGTTAGAGACAGGGAAAATTGTACAGTCTTTGTTGCAGAGTTACCAGCAGGTGCCACCGAGGGTGAACTGAAATCACTGTTCAAAGATGTGAGTTTCGTGTTGCGATGTAATTCTTGTCCAACCTAAACTTACACGACCCAATTCACAGTGTGGTGAAGTCCGTGAAGTCAAAATCACGCAACTACCTGAGTCATTAGTAGCAACTGTGGAGTTTGCCGAACGGGTTGCGTCTACCATTTTACACCTTTGGCCCTCGCTATACTCACGAACGATAATTTTGATCGTCTATAGGATAGTGTACCAGGCGCTTTGACCAAAGATAAAAAACGAATTCAGGGAGAAGAGATTGCCGTACATTTGGCATGGAGATCAACCCTCTATGTCACGAACTTCCCTGAAAAATTCGACGATGCTTCCGTTCGGGATTTGTTTGGTCAGGTGAGTATTCCTATATAGACTATGATTACGACTGTTGTCGAGTGCTGGTCTTTAGTATGGCGTCATATTCGACGTGCGATGGCCAAGTAAAAAGTTCAAGAGTACCAGGCGATTCTGCTATGTGCAATTTACATCTCCAGTGCGTTATTTATTTGCTTAGTTCATATTGAAGCATTAATTAGAGCCCCAGTCGTCGGCTGAAAGAGCTCTCGAGTTGCACGGACGTGAACTCGAACCCGACAGAACTATCAATGTCTTAATCTCGAATCCTGAGCGCAAAAAAGAACGTACGGATGCCGATGCAAATGAAAAGGAGATCTACGTAGCAGGATTGAGCAAATTCACTACTTCAGATGACCTTGAAAAGTTATTTAAGACTGTACGCACCATTCTTTTTTTCTTCTGCTTACCTCAGTCCTGTGTCGCTGGATGTAGTATGGCGTTATCAAGGAAGTTCGTATGGCAGAAGACAAAAGCGGGCACTGCAAAGGCTTTGCCTTTATAGAGTTTGAACAAGAAGTACACCATCAATGAAATCTTAGTATAAGATAACTGACCTAGTTGATCTAGGCCGATGCCCAGGCTGCGCTCGCAGCAAATAATTACGAGCTGAAGAAGCGTCGCATGGCCGTCACACTTGCGGATACTCGTGTGCGTGCACGCAATCGGTGAGTCTCAGACATCTATACTGCAGCATATGCACATATCTGACTATATTGACAGGGACGCTTTGTTGGATACTGGACTCGGCCGACGGGCAGATACTCGTAATCGATCTGTACGGATCCGTAACCTTCCCCCTGCTACCCAGGAAGGCCTTTTACAACAGGTTTTGGAGAAATTTGCAATTGTAAAACGGACAGAAGTCTTGTTGCAACAGAACGAAGCGGTTGTTGAGCTCGAGAATGCTGTCGTTAGTCTATATTTTTCTGCAGTGGAGACTTCTTTGACGTTGATGAATTTGATTTCTTTTTCAGGAGGCTGGGAAACTCCTTTTGCGCGCAGAACCTATTTTCTTCAATGGTAATACTTTGAAAATCTCTGAAGAGCCCCAAGCTGGTACCTCGGGTCCACGACCGGTAGCCCCAAGCACGCAGCAAGGCTTGTTTGTTCCACGAAACGCCGCGTCACGGCCTAGAGCAGGATTAGGCCATGCACGCAAGCCAGTCATAAAGGACACCAAAAGGAGCCCAGCTGGAGCAGAAAATCCCACATCGGGGACTGGACAAGGGAAGCAGCAGGATGACTTCAGGAAGCTATTAAATGGGTGATAAGCTTGAAAGTGGTGTGATCGACATCCATATGCATACAGAAGTCCACCATATCGCAACGTAAACACAGAGTAAATCAGTATGATTGGGTACTAATCGCATCGCGATGTTCATCTGGTAATGAGTAAGCTTACTAGTGTCCTGTCTGATTAAAGAAAGTATGGTCAAGTGGCTGTACAGGGGCATTGCTTCTTTTGGTTCAAACATCGATGCCGCAATACGCCGCTCAAGCCAACAACCAGTCGCAGTACTAGTGGCTACACACACGTTTGTACGACTCTAACTTGAAGCACGCCGTATCGCGCCCAAATACTATCGATTCACGACTTCAAACCGCTACCTCTGGCATTTCATGGAGAACGTTGACCATCAAGAAAGCACAACTATCACGTTCGAATGGGTCCTTCGAGGTTTAAAGGGCTTGTTTGATTCAAGGTAAGTAGCATGTTCTATGGGATAGAAGTTTCAGGGTTTAGAAACTGGAGCAGCAAGGGCGAGTCCAAATCCAAAGTAACGAGATCCATAAGATTTGGTGGAGGACGTTGGCAAGTACGTATAATTCTTTCTTTGTTATGTTTGCCCTCTTACCCCATTCATAGATATTATTTTACGCCAATTCTGGCACGGATGGAGGGGCTTTCATCAGTCTGTATCTTTCATGTGAGGTAAGTCTTGATGGCCTACTTTCCTTGAATGCGTCACCAAACGTGGAACAGCCTACAGCAAACGAAAAGGATAGCGCGCTAGACGGAAAGTATGTGTGAAGTCTGTATTCACTAGCAGCCTAAAACTCAGGTTTTATGCAGATGGGTGAGAGAGGGAGTGTATAAATTTAGCTTTGAGCTTCGAAGGTGAGGGTGTTTACCCAATCTCCTTTTAGCTTGTCAACTCATTTCCTCTTATAAGTTTGGGTAAAACGTCTTTGTTCAACATGAAAGAGGCAAACAACCACTCTTTCTCTTGGAAGGTGAGCTTGTGATGTACAAACAATCAACTCTGTATTGATCCCAGATCACTATCGCTTTCTAGACCGCGAATTGGGGATGGTGACGTATCTTATTTCCATAAAACACGTTCCTACATGAACTAATGTGTTATCATGTTATAGGGCTCAATTTTCCAGAAGAGACCACGTATACTATCATTCGGGCGCTGTTAAGGAACAGGATGCTTTTGTCATTATTTGTACCATAACATCTTCCCCACATCCTCCAGTTCAACCTTCATCTGTACCCTGTCAATTAGCACCTAAAGATCTTCTGTCGACGTTTGGTTCCCTTCTTGACGATCCTGCATATTCGGATGTTGAGTTCCTTTTACCTCGACGAGGCCGTTACAGAGGTTACAGGAAAATATGGGGTAATCGAAAGATTCTCCAGAGAGCAGACTACTTCGACACAAGTACGCTTATTCTTCCAATGTATCGTGGACATACCTCACCCTTTTCAGTGTTTAACTCGGGCTTTGCGGAGTCCTCAACTGACTCGTTGACATTGGCTGTCGCTTCCCAAGCTTCCCCGGATATCGATGAAGGATGCTCAGATTCTACTTACCTCGTACATCAATTCGAAGATTCGGACGATGAAGATGAAGATGACGACATTCTATCTGATGATAGAGACGAAACAGAATCAGATAACAACGTCGAAATCCACTCACTCCGGGAGAAAAGGTCCTCATCGAGTGTCACTGCTCTCGATGTGCTGAATCCATTGGGACAATCTACGGAAGACTGCTCACCCGAGCGGTACGATTCACGCAATGTCAGGGCAAAGTTATCACACCCATCTACTCCCAGGGGCAGAGGTTTGGCACTTGAGAAGGACGACATTGATTTGAAATCGGCTGCTGAACCTTTCGAGGCAAATGTCACTTCAACTCCTAAGAAGTTGCGAGTGGTAGTTAAGGACGTCGCTTATAGAACGTACAAAGCGGTTCTGTACTATGTGAGTGGGTTTGCCCGGCATATACTTACTCTCGGAAAATCTAACATGGCAGTGTGCAGATATACACTGATATCATTGTCTTTGCTCCATTATCCTCCTCTTTTTACCTCACGTCGAAACTTGGCAAGCGGCCAGTATCTCCTAATCCAGGGCATGCCCCTTCAGAAAGCCAGTCCAATCTTCTTGATGGGCAGAAAGGAGTTCAACACGGCGAAGCTTCCGCCGTAGGGCCCACCTCTCGAAGAGAATGGATCAAAAGGTGGTCCAAGAATAACCCAGAGCGTCCGGCACCTTGCTCAGCTAAAGCAGTATATAGACTAGCTGATAGTATGTGTGGTCGGGTACTGCAATATGCCTACGACTAATATTTTATGCTTAGAACTTGATCTTCTGGAGCTCAAAGAAAGGGCGTTTCAAGTAAGTTGCCATGTACTAGAATCTTTTTATATACAGCTTACATTTTTTGCAGCACATCCAGAAGTCCCTCATCGTGGAAAATATTCCATACGAGATATTCTCTCCTTTTTCGGCTACCTTTTCGGACGTTCGAAAAGTTCAAGTAAGCTTCTTCCTGGAACATTGGAGTGAAATTCGCACTTCGGAGGCCATGCGTGTTGTTTGGCAACAAATTAGGTCGGGAAGGCATCCAGGATTTGAAGAAGGTACTGCATCACGACATCCCATTCTCACTGCGCTTCATTAATCACATTCCAGTGTGGCCTGTTATTGCACAACAATTGGAATTCAACCCACGCTCAACTCTCGTCGCAGAGGGAGACAGCTCGGACGTTTGATGGTGTACTCGTGGCAGTTGCGTGGATGTCTTAGTGTAAAACATATGGCCCTTTTCTATCTCATGTTGTAGCATCTTGTAATATCTCCAATTGCATGTACAGTGTTCATGTGCCAGTACCAGTGCGTGGATGTGATGTGCCTATTAATTTGGCATCAGGTTTTCATGGTTTGAATGCTGAACCAGAACGACCAGTATATCATTTGAAATGTATAATCACAATCGAGTGCAATATTATGTGGATTGTAAATCGAAGAATCCCATCCATCCCACTGTAGATGAACTACTCCCGGAAAATAAATCTTAAACAGGCTATACCATACTTTACTCCACACTAGTGAGACTACCATAGTCTGTCGTTTCCGTGCCAGATACACTCGCTCCTCCATCATCTCCATCGCTGTCATCGTCGATGTCACTCATTGTATAACCTCCTCTAGGGATAACGTAGCTAGCGTCTAAGGAAAGCGATCTTGGAGTTGCGAGGGAATACGTCCCTGTCACCCCTTAATGTATGGTAGACCTTTTGAGTTTGCGAACGTAATATCATGATTGAGGCGACGAATCACCGTTCATGGGATGGCCAAGTTGACGGGCCCTGGTTGGTGTTTGTTCACTTGGCTCCAAAGATGGCGTGTTGTGATTTGATGTTGTGTAACCTGCCAAGGGCGTGGGGTGGTTCGAATTCTCGCCACCCTCAGACGAGTGATAATAGTTTTCGGGATCATTTTGTGCCAATCCACTCTGGGCGAGATACTGGTTGGAGTTCTCGTCCCCTCTTACTGAGAATGCCGCGTAAGGATCTTGCGATCCGTCAGCAGGAACAAATAGATCCTGCTCTTCATACTCGTGTAGTGACTGCCGTGAACCAGGATAAGTTGTGTCTGGCTGATGATCTGACGTCCGCGGGGGAATTCGGTGTAGAAGTCCATACCTAATTAGTTCGACGCGTGAAAAAACAACAAAGTGGAAGCAAAAAAAGTAGACGGACCCAAACACGCAACCCAACAATCCCTCACCACCCCACTGGCGGTTAGGCACGAGAACAACCTCCCTTAGGTTACTAAAGCTGCGTCAGTAACATTTATCACTAGAAAGTTCACTACGCACTCGAAATCGTGTGAATACACGTAGACCCTTAGTGGCTTGTCAACATGCTGAGAAAGAGAGGGTCACTACATCCATTTACAAAAAGTCGAATGTATAAAGACCATACAGATTCAACCACGTCGTAGAAGTCATTCTCTGCACTCAAAACGCCGCCGGACCACCCGATGATCCAGTCACCGTATGGAACAAGCCCCGCACTTTCGGCTGGACTCCCTTCAAGCACTTCCAACACGTGCCAGACATTGTCTGTTGCAGATTCGAATTCACACATACGCATACTTAAACCGAGTAAAGATGGCTGAGGTGCTGCCTCTGGATCTTTTGTGCCAGAAGCACCATCGCGTGCGAGCGACCACGTGCGAGATGGGACAATTGGTAGCACTAGCATGAATGTCAATTCGGTAACTCGTTCTCAACGTCTGGGACGACCTTACCTCGAGTTTGCCGAGTTTTATTATTCCAGACCAGCAGATTCAATGTCCTGTTTTCATGCTTCTCGACAATAGTCTCCAACTCCGCAACGTCGATATCATTGTGACTTATGAACGAATCCCCTTCGAAGCCGATGATGAAGTCGAAGAAAGGCTCGATGGATGTTTGAGATGCGGGCGAGGACGGAGTGACACGTAAGACATGGAGAGCACGAGACGAATGTGCCTGCGAAGCGGTTGATTGACCTGCACCCATTTCACCCAAGTGCACCAGCTACGGAAACAAAGATAAAGGTTGATAAAAGTCAAGGACTGGAAAGCTCAAGTTCAGGATCGCGGTGGTTGCCTGCAAAGACCACGTGGCCAGTTTATTGACATATTTACCCGCTCAAAAAGGAAAGCAAGTACGTTCCGGAATCCATGCATGTTCTGTGTTCAGGTCATAAAATGGATGTGAAATTGGAATCACTTGATTTGTAAAAAAAATGATAGCAAGAATGTCCATATAAAAACACACTCCTTTGCATAGTCTCCCTCCATCACGATCACCGCTGTCTATGCATTCCTATCATTACTAGTACCACCGTCTCCTGCGCCCGGTTTCATTTACAAGTCGCGCTTCATCCCACTGCGGACATGTACACTGTTTCCATCGCGCCGCGCAAAGATAACAGAATTGCGTGGAACATCTGCAGGTCATATGGTAGCAGCCCTGGCTAAGCTCAACAATGGAGTGACAGCCGGGGCACGTTTGCCATCGGCGATCTGCAGCAAGGGCCTTCACTTCAAGGGTTGCCTTGCTCTCAGCGCAATCCTCGCTGGGATGTGCCTCGTTTTTGCAACCAGAACACACTGGTGTCCCGCAATGGGGGCACACAATATCTTTTCTGCGTTGGTTAGTAGCTGCACCGAGGAAAGCTGAGCAAGTCTGTCTTGTGCAATAGACTCGCGAGGCAGCTGGAATCGAAAACTCGGCGGACTTCTGCCTGAAGCGCACACGAAGCTCGAGATCTAGCAACGGATTGATTTCCTCTATGGATAAATTTTGGCGACAGCAACATAACGGGTAGAGTGACTCATCGCGGGTGGCTGTTTCGACCAGATCCATCAAACAGCCGCGACAATAATAGTGATCGCACGGGGAACGATAACTGTTTGAAATATTCATGATAGCGTCCCCACAGATAAAGCATTCTTTGCTAACAAAACGCATCATCTAACGCATTTGACCAGACTATCTGCACCATCGGGTACTTACCGAGAACAAGGACCAGCCTGAGGTGCACTTGGAGAAGGCTCATACACGGGCTGTTTGAACTTTGGCACCGCGGGCGGTTTTATAGAGTCATCGTCACTACTATCTGCAAAATATAGACTTTCTTCGGCATCATCACCGGTGCTGTGACTGTGGTACATGACCTGAAGTATCAGTATAGTGTGCATGTGACATTCACCGTATTATTACAAGCAAGCTTACCCTGTATTCAAGTTGACGCTAAAGTTATTGTCCAACAAACGCTGAAAAATGGTTGGGGGCGGTATATCTTCCCCACGCGATAATGCTAAAGCGGCCTCGCGATCGTCGTGCTCTGCCTGCTCAAGTACGGACAAAGACAGTATCTGCTCTTGATCTGCTTGTACCGCCCCGTCGAGGCTGAGGGCAAAACGGCGATCGTTCAAAACCTCTAACCAAGCTTCAAGACCTCTTACATGAGTCTGCAGAGCCAATTCTTCGCCAACGCGGTTTTTCCCTTTGCCGTTGCGAGATGCATCTTGAATGTCCTCTAGCGCTCGTCTAACGGTCAAAATATTGGTGGCTATGTTATCCTCAACTCCTTGGTTAGGCTGGGGGGTGGTTGTAGCGATGGCCTCCATAGTAGGTAGCTAAGACGAGAGGTAGGGTCACCATGATCTTCAATAGTATCCCAGACCGTTAGCCTCCTAAAGCAAAACCTTGATGCTGAGCCGATATATGACGTCTATAAGGGATAGGGGGCCTTTTACGCAAGGGGTGCAACTGTAGTAAAACTACCATTGTAAAAGTTACTTTTAGATCTTGCTCAGCCACTGTTTCCCGGGCGGTTATCGAAATGCAGGTTAAATGAAAAGTAACCTCTCTTTCAAATATTTCTTAAAAATTGTCCTTGCAATAGGATATTGCGGTTCATATTGCTGGTAAGACTACTGGAAATTTACAATCGATTCACAGAACACCGCTTACAGACTAACATCTGGCAATACCTGCAACGCTAAAGGGCCGAAAGATATTAAAAGAAGTCCATGACGAATGAGAAGGTCGACCTACCATCAGATACGAGGGAAGATCATAAAAACACTCCTCACATTGTCCCCCACCATGTCTGTATCTCCATACGTGTCCTACACACTCGTGATTGTACCGAAGTTCATGCACTCTTTGGCGCACCCTTCCCGCGTGTACTAATGGCTGTCTTTGTGCTTCAGCTGCCCCAAACTCGTTTATGACCCGTCTATTTGCATCGCCTAAGAGCCTTTCTTCGTCCCACTGAGGACACGTACACTGCTTCCACTGAGCAGCGCAGAGGTAGCAGAACTGTGCTGAACATCGGCAAGTCATGTGGTAACAGCCTTGACTGAGTTCGACAATGATATGGCAGCCAGGACAAGTCTGCCAATGCTGATCCGCAGCTAGAGCCTTCACTTCCAATGTAGACTTGTTTTCAGCGCATTCCTCGTTCGGATGCGCCTCATTTTTGCAACCAGAGCAAACTATTGTCCGGCATTGAACACAAACTAGATCTACGCGGTGTTTTCCAGCTGCACCAAGGAAAGCTGAGCATGTTGGTTTTGTGCAGTAGACTCTTGAGTTTGGCGGGACTGAAAATTGGGCAGACTTCTCTGAAAATCGCACTCGAAGCTCGAAAGTCAGAAATGGGTTGACTGCCTCCATGAGAAAATTCTGGTGGCAGCAGCGTAGTGGGTAAAGCGATTCATCCCGGGTGGCCGCCTCGACCAAATTCACCAAGCAACTGCGACAATAGTTATGGTCACAGGGGGCATGGTAGCTGCGGGAATAGAAAGTATTCGTATTCTTGATGGCATCCCCACAGATAATACATTCTTTGCTATTGATATGAGTCAGCTATACTATAATATGTTCAAACATCTGTGACATCAGATCCTTACCGAGAAGAAGTCCCTGACGCACTAGTTGTTGCGAGTTTTGATGCTGTAAGCATCTCAGTAGAGCTATTGCCACTGCCAACTTCAGAAACCACACTGCCGCTTGTATCCTTGCATTGGCTATGATATGAAATGAATAAATAACATATTAGATTGACATGCATGCAGTGATACTACATGGACTCACAATGAATTGACACCAACACCCTCATCCAATGAACGCTGAAAAACGGTTGGAAGTGGTAGATCTTCACCACGCGATAAAGCTAGGGCAGCCTCATGGTCGTCGATTTCTCCTTGGTCAAGGGCAGCCAAAAACTGAAGTTGCTCTCCATCTGCACGTACAGCCTCGTCAAGGCTGATAGCAAAGCGATGATCAGCCAAAGCCTTTAAGAAAACTTGGAGATCTTCCGCTTGACTTTGCAGGGCCACCTCTTCGTCAGTAAGGAGGGCATCAGCGCGACCTTTTCCCTTGCGGGATAGCCCAATCTCTTCTATATCCTCTAGTGATAGTTTAGCAATCAAGATTTCGGTGTCTATGTCAGACTCAACCCCATGGCTCGGCAGGAGCGAGCCTCTGGCCTCCATGAGTGTGAGTTTGAGAAGAGATAAGGATCTCCACCCCAACCATCTTCGATAAATCCATCTCAGGCAAGGGGCTACCAATTAGGGGAGCTCATTGACAAGTTTGAACGTTCAAACTTGAGTCAACACCGTGACTGAAGGCAAATCAGTAAAGGCCGAAAATGTATATCACATAATAAGATAACTTATTGATAAATGATCCCCAGCCAAAAGCCCAGATGTATAGATTGAAATAAGGAGATATAAATCTGTAAAATTATTTAGAAGTAGATATATGTTGTGAAATTTTGTCAACAACTTCACGGATTGTGTTGGCATATCCTGTTTATGATACACTCACATCCTATCATTTTATCCTTTTATTTCTTCATTTCCATACACCATTCTTTCATCTCTACTTGACCGCTTTTCCACTACATTACATAAGCTCAAAACTTTCCCACACTTATTCCAAAAACTCGTAGCACTCTGCCTTACACAAACCTCAGTCTCTTGATTATAAGACTGAGGTATGTCTGGTTATTTTACAGTTTACTTTATATCATCATACTCACTTTACACTATTAGAAATACTCTCTTTTAGGTATATTATCCTTCAATAGCAGTCTCTTGATTATGAGACTGAGAAATACTCTCTTTTAGTCTTCTCATAGCCTAACAGGTTATGAGCCCTGCCAGCTCACTTGATATGTCTTCTACAGCTTCGACATTCTCTGTACCCAAACTGGCCAAGGATGGCTCCAATTGGGTTACATACAAGTCTCGTGTAGCTGTGGCTGTTGGTGCCCGAGGTCTAACCAGACACCTGTCTGGAACTGCACGAAAGCCAGATCCTCTTGAATATACTAGGGATTCTAATGGCATAGCTACAAAAACCGACGGCACTACCCTTAAAGAAGAAGACATAGAAACCTATGAAACCAAGCTTGATGAATACACTCAGAAAGAATGTCTCGTCATCCAGCAATTATTTTCTACTGTTCACGACGAAACTCTCATCCAAATCCAGGACAAGAGTTCGGCAGCTACAATATGGCTTACCATTTGCCACATGCATGAAGGCAAAACGGAGATGATGCAGATTGACATCAGGTGCCGCTTACAAAATATGAAATGCACTGAATCTACAAATGTCCGAAGTCATATAGGAGACATGCTAAAGCTCCGAGAGCAATTAGCAGGCATGGGAGCAACAGTCGAAGAGAAGGACTTCTCTGCTATGATGTTATCTTCCCTCCCAGATTCCTATCGTCCACTACTCTCATCAATCCTAGCCGCCGCTCGTATATCCAAAAATCAGCTTTCGGCAATGGATATAATTGCTCATGTAACTGAAGAAGCAGATACACGAGCAATCTCTGCTCAAGCCAAGTCCGAAACAGCCATGATGGCCAAATCCGGTTGGAAGGATCGTAAGGCCGAAAGAAACAAACGGTACAAATGCACCAACCCTAAATGCCCCGTCAAAGTTGGTCACACTATCGAAAGGTGCTTTGCACCTGGCGGAGGCCGAGAAGGTCAAGGCCCTAAAAACAAGGCTAATCCAAGGGACAATCAAGTAAATCCTCCTCAGACGGCACAGGGAACAAATACTGCAGCCACTGCAAATATAGCTGCAATTGCTCCCAAACATGAGAACGACGAGATATATGCCTTTGCTGTCAGTTCACAGGTTACAGCTTCGGCAAACAAAGCTGAAACTCACATAAGTGATCATGAAGCCATCATTGACTGTGGTGCGACAGACCACTTCTGTCCTGATCGCCACAGATTCCAATCATATACGCCAATCGATCCTATACCTATCAACGCAGCAAATGGCGATATCATGTACGCCCGTGGCAAGGGCGACGTCACTGTTAATCTACCAAATGGGAACAAGTGCTCTCGTGTCATATTAAAAGACACGCTACACTGCCCTACAATGGCCTCGACACTCATATCTGCTAGTCGCATGGACAAGGCAGGATACACTGTTCACATAGGCGGAGGCATATGCGAGATACGCTCGCCCCCACCTGGCTGCCGAACAATAGCTCAAATCCCAGAAACAAAGGGCCTGTATCACATATCCAACGTCAGTAAAAATTACAAAAGAGGAGCATACTTTGCCAGCACAGTCACCATTAACGATCTGCACCGGCGAATGGGCCATATAGCCCATAAATCACTCAAGCACCTCGTTGATTCAAATCTAGCTGAAGGAATTGTCCTGGATAGTTCCGAGGCCATATCTTTCTGTGAGACATGTGTACAAGCAAAGGCCATCAGGAAACCTTTCCCAAAAACTAGCCACACTCGAGCTAAACATTATGCGGAAAGAATCCATTCGGATCTCTGGGGTCCGGCTATTGTTCAAGACTTGAAAGGAAAACGATACATGTTAACTTTCACAGACGACTTTAGCTGAGAAACTCACGTGCGTTTACTTGCAAAGAAAGACGAGGTTCTACAGATGTATAATAACTTTGAAGCCTGGCTCGACACGCAAAAGGATCACAGTAAAATAAAGATCCTAAGGTCTGATCGCGGAGGCGAATACACAAGCCTCAATTTTGATGCGCACCTGCAAAAACAAGGCACTGTCAGGGAATTAACAACCCATGACTCACCCCAGCAGAACGGCGTGTCAGAACGCCTCAACCGCACACTCATTGAATGTGCTCGTGCAATGTTATTTGGTGCAAATATGCCTAAATCCCTGTGGAGCGAAGCTATTAGGCATGCCGTCTGGATCAAAAACCGAGCCCCTACCAAGGCACTACAAGGCAAAACACCGTACGAAATAGTCCACGGCCGCATACCAAATTTATCCAATATTCATGAATTTGGATGCACAGCATATGTCAAAACTATTGACGCAGGCAAACTAGACCCACACGTAAAGGCTGGTAAATGGATTGGATTTGATGATGAGTCAAAGGGGCACAGAATATACTGGCCAGAACGACGTACCGTAAGTGTTGAACGCGACATCATTTTTAATCCACAAGAACGTCTTACCCCATCCCAAACTGCCGAAAACGACGACGGCCGTATATTTGAAGAACCGACGGTCAACTCTACAAACGAACCAATCGAATCAGCAACTCACGAAAACGAAACTGTCGACGACTTACCAGTAGCCGTTCGCTCATACTCGCCTCTAAACAACCTCCAGCCTCATCCAATCCAACCAAACACCATCCATCCCAATCCTGTTGCCCAGCCGCCTCCAAACGACCTTCAGCCTCCTCCTCCAGCTGTAATGAACCTCCCAGAACCTCTTGAAGTTGGACCAGGTCTTGCTGAGCGGCCTAAACGAGGAGAACCGAAGCCAGCAGGCTTCTATAAGGCCTTGCATGAGGGCCGCTTCACAGCCGCATCTGCATTCAACGAGTCAGCTGACTTGAGCGGCGAAAACAACGAAAACAACGAAAGCGCTTACCTAGGCGCTTGGAGCGCAGCCACGACTGCAAACAATCGAACCGCTAGCGACAATCCAACCATAACTGAGGCACTAAACGGACCTAACAAGAAAAACTGGTTAGATGCCATAGATGAAGAATTGAAGCAAATAGAGAACTTGCGCACCTGGGACCTGGTCAAACCCCCGCCGCATGCCAATATAATACGCTGCCACTATGTCCCTCGGATCAAACGAGGACCAAACAACGAAATCCTAAAATTCAAGATTCGTTTAGTAGCGAATGGCAGCACCCAGATATATGGAATAGACTACAATGAGACTTATTCAGCCGTGTCTCGTATGACCACCAACCGCCTGGTTCTCGCACATGCAGCAGCAAATGACTGGGAAACTCACCAGTTAGATATAAAGAGCGCATACCTAAATGCAACTCTTGACGAAGACATATACATGCATCCTCCACCAAACTACTTGAAACCCGAACAACAAGGGCTTGTATGCAAGCTAAACAAGGGTCTCTATGGTCTCAAACAGTCGGGAAAACAATGGTATACGAAGCTTACTGAGACTTTTACCACTCTCGGATTCTCAAAATCTCAACATGACCATGCTCTCTTCATCAAGTATTGTGGCACCGACAGCCTAGTAGTTGCAGTGTCAGTTGACGACATGCTCATTGCAGGTAAAACTACAAAGGCTATCAGTGAATTCAAGGAAGGAATAAAGAGAGAATATGAGATCACCGACCTTGGCCAAGTCAACTGGCTACTTGGTATCCATATACAACGAGACCGCAAAACTCGCACTGTATCTCTAGGTCAACAGGCATACATAGAAACAATACTAAAAAGGTTCAACCTCGAAGACTGCAAACCTGTATCAACTCCGGTCGAGCCAGGTCTACTTTTTGACGACTCACAATCACCATCAGCCGAAGCCAAAGTCATCGAGATGCAAAACATACCTTATAGAGAAACAATAGGATCTCTCATGTACCTTGCTACTGGCACTCGACCGGATATCGCATTTGCAATATCTTCACTCTCTCGTTTCCTACAAAATCCTGGTCGAACACACTGGGAGGCAGCAAAACGAGTCCTACGATACCTGAAAGCCACCAAAGAGTTCCGATTGGTCATAGGCCAAACCGACGAAGGCTTGGTTGGATTTCCGGACGCAGACTTTGCCTCACATTCCCACAGACGTTCTATATCAGGATATGTTTTTAGGATCAATGGTGGAGCCGTCTCCTGGAATAGTAAGACACAGCCAATTGTAACACTATCGACCACAGAGGCCGAATATGTGGCTATCACACACGCAGCCAAAGAAGCCATCTGGCTCAAAAACATTTGGGCCAAAATCACAAACAAACCACTCACTAGACCAATTCCGCTTTATGGCGACAATTGTAGTGCAATTGAGCTCACCAAAAATAATATCTATCATTCTCGCACCAAACATATCGATATTCACTATCATTTCATAAGACAATCTGTCGAACAAAATTTGATTCAAATCCTATTTTGTCCCACAAATGAAATGCCTGCAGACGCACTCACAAAGCCACTGGCTCGACCCAAATTACAACACTTCAATAAATTAATGGGAGTTGATTTGGTTTGAGGGGGTGTGTTGGCATATCCTGTTTATGATACACTCACATCCTATCATTTTATCCTTTTATTTCTTCATTTCCATACACCATTCTTTCATCTCTACTTGACCGCTTTTCCACTACATTACATAAGCTCAAAACTTTCCCACACTTATTCCAAAAACTCGTAGCACTCTGCCTTACACAAACCTCAGTCTCTTGATTATAAGACTGAGGTATGTCTGGTTATTTTACAGTTTACTTTATATCATCATACTCACTTTACACTATTAGAAATACTCTCTTTTAGGTATATTATCCTTCAATAGCAGTCTCTTGATTATAAGACTGAGAAATACTCTCTTTTAGTCTTCTCATAGCCTAACAGATTGTAGATATTGCAAGTTCTCATGCCATTGTGTTGAGATCACACTGTCAATTTATGATCACAATAAGTGTCAGAACTATGGCCTTTGGAGTATTGGAGTTCAGAGTGTGGAGATGAGGTGGGGAGCAGAATGGAGTACAAGGTTGGGAATTGACTTAGCTTGTGCGCTAGGCCCTTCTGCAGACCCTAACTCAACAGAGTGAACTGGTGAGAATAGAGTATTAAAGGTGGAGTGGAGTAGAGGTCCTTCGTAATAAAACTATGTGAAACTCAGCCGCTGCCCAAGAGGCTATAGAAACCACTGAGGTATTTCTATACTAAACCCCCTACTACTTATAGCCGGAGGTGCTACTTGCTATAGTATAATGACTCCTAGGAGTACAATGGTGACTCCATGGAGTGGTGGCTATGCTCCATGGAGAACAATGGCTTCTTTGGCAGAGACCGGGTTTATCCAGTTTTGTCACTTTGGAGAAGGACCAGAAAACTTAGAAGGAGACTTGAATAAAGGTGGTAGGGGCTATTCGATTTTTGAACTGCAGGAACAGAGTACAGGAGCTACAGCTTATATACTATTGGAGGGATGGGAGTTTGTAAGGAGTAATTTTTAATGTAGGTATGGAGTTCCATGTGGACAATTATCTAGCAAGGGTAAAACATATGTGAGGGGAGTGTACCATAAGGTCTAAACTACAGAGTCCATGATGAATATGAAAATGTGCAGAGGAAGTGTATGGTGGACTAGAAGTCTGGTGTAAAAGTATCAGAGTGGATATCCGGAGTACCATGTGGGGGTTGCAGAGAAAGTGTATGGTGGACTAGAAGTCTGGTGTAAAAGTATCAGAGTGGATATCCGGAGTACCATGTGGGGGTGGGGTACAGGGCTATGCCGAGCAGCAGAGCACAAGGAGCATAATTCTGAGAGTACCAAAGATTCAGGAGTTTAAACTTGAGGATCTTTGACTTTTTGGAAATCCGGAAACTATGGCCTGTAGCATGGATATGACAATAATTCATGATACCACAGAGTGCCACCTCAAGTGCACTCTACATCATGCACTCTACATCACTGTGATATCACAAACACAGGATTATCATTTATTGTCTACTGATAGATTTATAGAGCCAATATCCACATCAATTTTCCCATGTCTCTTGATCTTGTGCTGGCCTCAATTGCCACATTTTCTGTTGTCTCGAGCACAAAACATTATAGTGCTTAGCAGCTTTAGCTGAGACCGGATTCACCCGGTTTTGTTAAGGCCTTGACAGTCCTCTTGACTGGAAGGGCAGCCATTGTTCTCCATGGTGCATAGCCACCAATCCATGGAGTCACCCATTGTTCTCCTAGAAGTCATTTTACCTTAGCAAGTAGTACCTCTGACTATAAGTAGTAGGGGGTTTAGTATAGGATACCTCAGTCATTTCTATAGCCTCTTGGGCAGTGGCTGAGTTTCACTTAGTTTTATTAGGCCTCAGAGCAGCAAGATATTGCAGAGAAGACAACCAAGGCTAAGAAGTTCCAATCTAGCAAAGCTTTGACAGCATAGTGAGTAGTACAGTTCTTTTATTGGGTGCTACTGACCTTACATTTAGTAATCTATGTGCAAAAGATTTATTAAAAAAAAACTCCAGATCACAAAAGGATTTCAGGCCATACTACAAAGCTCTCAATCCTTCTGTTACCTTGGTAAGTGTTATTTTTTCATTATATTGCCATATTGCTTATTTTTCTGACTATCTATTACAGTCCTTCAAAAAACAAGTTCTTGCCATCAAACAAGTAAGTTTTTTAAAACTGTACTGTACATATGCTAACTGTATTCTATGCACAGGCTTCCTCAATTGTTCTTCCAGCAGCTATATGAATTCCAACCTCCACTCTCTTCTGTAGAAATTATATTATGTAAGCAAACTTTGGAGCTTCACCCGAAGATTTACTCTGTGATTATAACTGGCTACCATTGTCTTTCATATGAAATTTATATATGTTTGTTATATAAGAAGCATGTATTT